CGAGGTATATCGGTTGCTAAGCAGTTTGTTATTTCGGTTGTCAGCAATAAATGATGCAAAAATAAAACACTATCAGTGCATGCCCAGAGTCAGAAACTTATGCAAAACGGTTGGCCGCAATAGCTCAGTGGCATAAAACAAAAGACATTCGTCTATTAACATTGCTACCAACTCATTTATCGGTAGCCTAGATAGATTCCATTACCAACACTAATAGCTAAGTCTGTTTCTCCCTGCAAAATCATCAACGCCAGAAGATTAAATAGAAGGCAGCTTAATTTAGAACCTAAGCAAGTGGAGTGAATTTCTTCGGGAACCGTTTTACTTACTTTTGAAGGAATGGTACTGCTGGATTCCATTCAAGTTTACAACCTGGTGGTGGTACCGGCTGAAGTCTATGTTGAGCCATCGAGAACGTGTTTCGACTGCTTCCGCTATGGGCAATCGCAGGAGTGCTCAAGTCTAGTCTGCAGGGTTTGCAGATCTGCGGACCATTGCAAAGAAGACTGCCCTAATAAGGATGAGGTGAAGTGTCTCCACTGCAAGGGAAATCATAGAACTTTCGATCATACGTGTAAAGAGTTTCAAACTCAACACGAAATTTCTAAACAAATGGCTTATGCGAATGTAAGTTTCTGGGAGGCACGGGACTTTGTCTCCAGATGTTCCCAGTCTTCTAGCCATATTTCCAAGGCTCCCCCCCCCTAACATCAGAGCACTTTCCTCCTCTCTCAGAGCAGCGTGATATCTTTGAAATCTTTTGGAGCGCAGTAAAGGCCTGCTCATCTCTCAGTTTGGTGTAATTCAAACTTGCTCTCCGTTACTGTTCCATGGCTCTCGCAAAAAGCATGTTATTCCTGCCCCTTGGTGGGATAAGGAGCGTGACAAAACGTTGAAGTTACGAGAAGCTTCTCTTAAAAAGTGGAACCACACTCTCAAATTAGAGGATTGACACTCTTACAAGAAACAAGCTGCTCGTACTAAGAGAACTGAGCGTTCTCGAACTGAGGTTCGGAAGCGTCTGTCTTTTCGTCGTTTTGCTGATGAGCTAAATAGCCGTACCAACGTCTCACAGTTGTGGAAAACTGTTAGAACTTTCAAGTTTAGATTCTGTCAAAACCCTGTAAGTGATGGTCGATCTTTTAATCCTAATGAAATTGATATAACTGTGTCCAAAATTGCTCCTCCTTAGGCTCCAGAGTTCCCTTTGACCATTCCTCCTGATAACTCTGAGACTTTCTTGAACGCTCCCTTCACCCTGCTGGAGCTTAATTATTCGATCGATTGCTTACGTGAGGGGTCTTCTCCCATGCCTGACTGCATAGACAATGTTATGATTCTTAGGCATTCTGTCAAGATCAGACTCATTCTTCTGGATATTCTGAACGATCTCTTCTCAAACAATTTCATCCCGACTGAATGGTTGTCCTCTCATCTCCACTTTATTCCCAAGAAAGGGGGTAAAGGGCTGCGTCCGATTAGTCTAACTTCTTGCGTCTGTAAACTTTTTGAAAGAATGGTTAAGCTCCGCCCGCAATGGTGGTGCGAGGCTAATAACATTCTGACAGACTCTTAAGCAGGCTTTCAGAAGGCAAGATCTTGTCAAAACAACATTGGAAGCATCGTTCTGGAAGCGAATAAAAGTTTCATGCGTAATGAGTGCACGGTTGTCGCCTTTCTGGACATATCTGCCGCTTTTGATAATGTACATAGTAATACTCTCATTGGAAAATTGACTGATCTTGGGCTTGCAGGCAATATTCTGCAGTTCATTTCCAACCTTACCCACTTCAGAAGAGTCTCAATTCATTCTAACTCCTCTGCTCCTACTCTTCGTCTGTTGTACAATGGTGTTTCTCAGGGTGGTGTTCTTAGTCCTCTCCTTTTCAATCTCTACATTAGCGGTGTCTTGATACATCTTCCGCGTTATGCGAAATTCCTGCAGTTTGCTAACAATTTTGCTGTTATTGCTACCCACAAAAATAAAGCCACTGCCTTTGGTATTTTAGAAAATTGCATTGAAGTTATCAGGCAAAATCTCTGCTTTGAATTTGGATCTGTCCTCTCTCAAAACACTGTTTCTTTCCTTTAATTTAGGCAATTCCCTCCTAGCTCTTTTGTTGGAATAATAGACGCAGTATGAGATAAATGCACAATAAAATATATTTAAGAAAAATTAATTAACCCATTTGCATCATAAGCGCATATATGCGCGCATTTTGCCTGGCCACTATCACCAGAGCGCGCATATATGCGCTCATTGCACTTAGGCACCAGAGTGTATATTATACCCATGCGTATTTGGCACTCAATCAATGAAAAGAGGTGATCGCGAATAGTTTCAAGGTAAAATAACTTAGAAAAATAAAAAAAAATGGATGGTTATGTTTCCGACAGCAGTAAAGAGGTAATTAGATCTAGAAAATGTAGATGTTTTATGGCGATTTCTTCTGATAGTTGTGCAAAATAATTAGATTTTATTCCTCTCATAATTATGAATCTATAATGAAGTAAAAATTCTTTATTTATGTAATATTGCTTTTATTTTTAACATTTAAAAACATTTTCATTAAAATACAATCAAAAACATTTTTGGTGATAAGAACGAATTTTTCACTTTTCTGCGTGATGCAAATGGGTTAATACAAGCGAAAAATAATTGGTACATGTTTACGTGAAGCGTGCTCATCGAGGACTGGTTAATTATGCACGTTGATCGGTATCGTGATGTTCACAGCGACACCCGTTGTTCGTCAATCGTACTCTAGTTTACCGACTATCATCTTTACATCTTTCCATATATGGGCGCATTATTCCCAATGTACAAAGTGCCAAATTCCTAGGCATCTACATTGATCAGCACCTTCGATTTGACACTCATATATGTACATAATCTCGCCACGCACTGTCAGCAAACTTTAAGGCGAGTGTCCCGCAGCGGTCATCTTGCTTGCATAGATCAGCGTCTGTCTCACTCATGCACCTTCGAAAATTCGACTTTATTATGTACAGAGTATTTATTACTATCTAAAGCGACCAGAGCGGCCTGTAGAGAAGTCCACTAAAGGGTGCTGTACTCGTAAAAACTTCATTTTCGCAATATTCAAGCATTAAAGTCGAATTTACGAAAATCGAGTCGTTTCTTTCACACCAATGCGATGTGCGAAGGAGACGAGCCAAATTCTTTGTCCGCGTTTTTCTTTTACACCACTCAACCAATTCTAATCAAATTTTGCACACACCTGGGTATGTACATCTGGATGTACATAAAAAAAGAATTTTTTAAATCGGACTTGCCGCAGAGGAATAATCACCGAAAAAACTGATCCTCGTAGACTTACAGAATAATGTAAATGTGATGTAATGTATATTTTACGTAATATGTTAGTCATTTCTTTTGCCTGTACTTGTTGACTGGTTCAGAATTTGCTGTTGGTTTGACTGGTTCCGAATTTGCTGTTGGCCAATTTAAAGTTTGTTGAATAGCGTCAAAGTGCGTCTTCTTCGGTGGCAATGGCACAGCAGATTCCTCAATTGATCTGCTTCGATAGATTCATCAGATATATGTAACCATCTAACCATCAACGGGAAGGGCTTCTACTGCATCCATATCAATTTGCACGTCAGCGTAGAGTGGATTGTTTGTAGATAACCAACATAGTGCATCGAGAACAATTTTTCTTCGAACAAGGAAATCTGCAAATCCACACGCGCTTTCCCGGCGAACGATCAGATCATACAATGCTTCGGGAGATTGTGGCAAGATTTTGACGATTTCCTTGATGTCTTGCTCTACGTTGATAACATGCCCTTTGTAATGGAACTGACCGCGAAAGCCGTGTGCTTTAACTTGGTATATAAGCATTACAGGATGAACGCGACCTATGAACATTTGTTCGACCAAGGTTAGACATTAACGGACAGACTATCCATTCTGCTCTGCGAATAACTCTGTGACGTGGTATTTTATACCCGTCACAAGGAGCCTCCTCGGGAGACCGGACGGGTCATAGGCCGCCGTCAGATACCGTCTAGAGAGAGAACGAAGCGCGTATAATATCGTAAGAACAAATTCTGCCGCTATACTATTTTATATGTACCGCCGGAGAATGACGTCACGGTCAACGAAGGAGCGACGTACGTCGAGGGAAAACGCCGCTGCTCTGCCGCTACCCCGCTCGGACCCTCCGATAGACGAAGAGAGGCAGCGGAGTAAGAGGAGAGAACCCAGCGAGATACCGACGTACGCCGAAGGAAAGTGCCGATTCCCTGCCGCTTCCCCGCTCCGGCCCTACGACAGAAGAAGAGAGGCTGCGGAGACGGAAGAAGCCCTGCCGAAGAAGACTTCGATAGAATTCGGAAACTCCGGCAGAGGGTGGGGGTAGGCTACGAGGTGTCCTAATACCGGCGCAAGGGCTCGCGGATCCTTATTCTGTATTCGGCAGTTGCCTCAGTGTGTTTCAAAAAAAAGTTAAATAGCGTTCCGTGAGGAAAAAGAACCACCTTCCGTATCCCGAGCTGTCGCCACGTGTTTGGACACCTTGGTAAGCCCCCTCAATTACCGCCATATCGTTGTAAAGAGCGCGAAATCGAGATCGTCATATCGTGGGTTGTAGATCACCTGGCTTGCCATTCACGGGCAGGTTCTGCAAAGTGTGACCGGAGTGGCTTTGTCTCGTAGGGAAATTAGTTTAAGTTAGAAGGATAAAAACCCGGCGGCCCCTGTCCGGGACAGTCGCGGATCCCGACGTCCGGACTTTTTCGTGTCGTCGAGAGATCGCTTCTCGATCTCTCGAATCGCCACTCGGCCGGATCACCGAACCTGTACCGGGGAATGGTACAGCGTAAGCTACAATTAAAGTATCGTCTCGAGTAGGCCTTTGACAATATTGTACCCTCCCACGTCTCGATTTCGCGAACTCTTGGTACGGGAGTAGAACGTAAAGTGCATGTTTGTCGTACCGGACATTTCGTGTTTGTCGCGTAACTTCTCGCTTTCTCTCTCTAGACGGTCGCCGATACAGAATCGTTCCGCGTGTAGAATTAAATCGCGTCTCGTATAAAACTAAGTGCGTTAGATTCCGTTGCGTTTAGTATAATTGCGTTTCGTTGCGTCTCGACGCGTTTCGTCGCGTCTCGTCGCGTCTCGTCGCGTTTCGCCGCGTTGCGTTCCGTTAGAATAATTGCGTCGCGTTT